TCAGTGAGGACTGAACTAGGCAAAAGGGCCTTCTCCTACTCCGCTCCTGTTTCCTGGAATATCTTACAAAAAGAATTGAAGCTCTCGACCTTGACCTCTCTAAGTGGCTTTAAGAATCTGTTGGACTCCTGGCAGGGTCCAATGCTGACATGTTCCTGTTTTTAGTTTTATACATTTGTCTTGGAATCTAGCTGTTTTTTTGGTTTTGTTACCTTTTTCCTTTTAGCCATCCTATTTGTTAAAAAAAAAAAAAAAAAAAAAAAAAAACTGTAGTATGAGTTTTTATAACTGCTTATTGTTGTTGCTGTTGTCCATTGTTGTCATCTTTCTTTGTTGAAATCAGGTCTCTCTTGTAAATGAGTCCTCGAGGCTCAATGGGATTTACCTGTATAAATAAAGGTTGATTGATTGACAGAATGCAGCATCTCTCTGTTTCCCGCAACAGCAGTGACATTTGGTGCATGTGATACCTCCTCTAATTATGGCTTAAAGGGCTAAAGTGCTTGTATTCCTGAGGTCGCCCCAGTTCCAGATCATCCAGGGACAATGGACAATCCTGCTGCAGAACAATAAGAGTGAGGTGTTGTCTTTGTCTTCCTGCGGAGTAACTCTGAGCTGCATCTGTGTCATTCCTAAACAGCTCTTTCTGTCCGACCGGCTCTCATCTTACGGTAACCTTTTTGTGACAGAGGGGGTGGGGGGGACAGCTGAGAACAGTTAAACCTCCAGCTGCAATCAACACCAGACCAATCAGCACCGCTCTGCTGCGGCCCCCGTGTGAAGAAATGTAGACGTGTTCTGTGTCAGTAGCTGTGAATCCATATTTACAGCAGTTAGACATTACAAAATCCTAAGCTTTGAAATCTTCAGACTCCCGAAACTTTTAAACCCCGTCCCATCAACCATAATGTGGTCGTCGACTGCAGCCGCTTTTGTTTTGTTAAAGGTAAAAATGGAGAGAGGTTGATGGGAACCACACAAGGAGCTCAAACGTTAAAACATTTATTAATCCAAAAACACTAAACACGAAGTTGCTGTGGCAGAAAAACGTACAAAAATAAGTAAATTTAAGGCAAACTGTGAAGAACAAGGAAAAAACAGGATGTAAATATCACAAAAAACAAACAAGAGAAATAAACCCAGCAGTAAACACAACAAACTACCACAAAACAACTAAAGGACACAGATCCTGACAGAAATACTGCACGACGTGCACGTTATACTATAAACAGTACATTCTCAATTTTAAATTTGTTGTGCTCTTTCAACTTGAAGTAGGTTTCAAAGTAATAGTTTGTCTTGAGATTGAAAAAATGCTTAAAAAAAGTTTTTTTTTTCAGTTTAAACTAAAATAACGTTTTGAAATGCCTGTAAGCTGAATGAGTGCACATTTTCCAGACTTTTACTTGAAAGTACAAAATAAAACTACTAGACGTTGCTTAACTACCTCCAAAGAAGACACACATCTTTATTAAATCTACTTTAACTGTTTAAATGATGGCTCAGTGGTTAGCACTGTTGCCTCACAGCAAGAAGGTCCTGGGTTCAATCCCTGGTTGGACCTGGGGTCGTTCTGGGTGGAGTTTGCATGTTCTTCTCGTTCTTGCATGGGTTTTCTCCGGGTACTCCGGTTTCATCACACAGACCAAAAACATGCATGTTAGGCTGCCTACAGGCCCAGGCCTCCCTTGCAAAAGAGATCTGTGGTCTCAGTGGGATTTACCTGGTTAAATAAAGGTGAATAATAATAATTAAATGTCCTTTAATTTTTTAAATCCATATTAAATTACTTTAACTGTTTAAATCCATATTAAATCTGCTTTAACCGTTTAAATCCATATGAAATCTGCTTTAACTGTTTAAATCTACTTTAACTGTAAATCCATATT